CCAGCAGCGCGGTCGGCAGTCGCCTGGCGGGGGTGGTGACTTCTACGACGTCTCCTTCAAGGTGAGCCAGGCACCTTGCCCCCAGGTGCGTGCAGCAGGTGGTGTCGGCCCGAGCCAAGAGGGGCTGGAGCCTAAGAAGGGACCCAGGGCCCCCGCAGACGTTTGCCGTGCACCTGGCCAAGGACACCCCGCAGCTGGCACAGCTGCAGTGTGCACCGTGCACACACACAGCTGTCAGGCTGTATTTGGGGTACTCAACAGCTGGCTGGCTCTCTCCCTCCCTCTTCTGGGGAGAGCTACACAGGGATCTGGGACATCAGAACCCGGTAGGCACTGCTCCCAGACCATCACCCCCACCCGGACTCTGGATTCATCATTTCCCATATGCTGCCTTCTCTCACACCCAGGGGCTGTGGGTCTCCTCTTTTTCTGGGAAGCAGGAGGCTGGGAAGAGCTTTGCCAGTTGGATGGGGAGACTGAGGCCTTCCCCAGGCCAAGGCAGAAGCTATGTGAATTTGGTGAGAGTAGGTAGGATCATCTTTGGATTTTAGAGCATTTGACAGGAAGCTGGGTGGAGGAGGGAGAGGGCCTGTCTGCCCCTTCTGTTCACAGACCTCCTGGTCCAGGCCTACCTCAAGGTGAAGATCTGACCCTGGGCTGGGAAATCCCTCCTGAAAGGGCCGCTGGGATTTGTATCCTTGTTGGGGTTTGAAGAAGTCTCTGGCATGGAGTCTTAGGAGGTCTCAGCTCTCACTCCCCTGACTCTGTTCCCCATTGGGCCCCAAATGCTTCCTTCCCAGATCAAAGCTTGACTTGCATTGCAGGATGGGCAGCAGCCCTCACCCCCACTTATTGAGAGGGGCCCTGTTGGGAGGGAGAGAAGGGACTGAGACTACCAGAGGTAGAACTGCTGTCTCCCCAGGCCATCTGAACCTGTAAGCCTGGAATGGCTCCCTCCTCTCCTGGTCCTCACCTGCAGCCCCTTTCTGGCTTGGGCAGTTCAAGGCAGATCAAAAGCTCCCTCTAGGTGGGTCATCCTATCCCCTTTCCCCTGGCCTAATACTTTGGACTCTCCTGTCTGTCCTAGGTCATGTTGGTGGGAGACTCAGGCGTGGGGAAAACCTGCCTGCTTGTGCGCTTCAAGGATGGTGCTTTCCTGGCAGGCACCTTCATCTCTACTGTGGGCATTGACTTTCGGGTGAGAGTGGAGGCTGATGTCCCGAGCTCCGACCAGTTCCCCCTCATGAGCTCATTGAGTCCTCCCAGTACCCTTGGGCAGCTGGTTTCTCCATCTTTCCCATGGTAGCCCCATGGTAGTTCTCAGGAGGTGGAGCTCCTAGTGGGGGTGGTTGCCTAGGCATGAGACACCTTATCCACCAAGCTGAATGACTGTCAACACCCAAGGGTCCTGAGAAGATAGCCCAATATCTGAAGTGGTGGTTGCATCCACCTGACGCAGAGACTTCTGTGCCAGGGGCTGGAATTACCCTGTGGGTATATTTCCAGGGTACTGACAGTCAGAGGGAACTTAAGGTCCAGACACTGCCTCATTGCACAGAGGTGGCCCAAGGCTGAGAGATGCCTGGAACCTGCCCAGGTCCTACAAGCCAGGTGGCTGTGGTGCAGCCTGGGAGAGGGTGTTTATATAGGCCTTGTTTGGGGGAGGGGTCCCTGCCTTTGAATGTAAAGATCCCGAGTACCCCAAGCAGGGGTCTGTGAGGCTTTAATATCTACCTCTGGCCACCAGTCTAAATCTCAGGTGCTGAGGTGCTGGTGTGTTCTTGGCAAATCCTAAATTTGCATTTTTCTCACCTTTTAATTAGACCCAGTTAGCAGGAGGCTGGGAGGGAGGCACTTTCTGGGGACAGTGAAGGAGGGCTTCTTCTAGTTTGAGGAGCTGTTCTCTACTCACATTGGGAGTTCCAGGTCTGTTCAAGCCCTCTGGAATGAAGGGCTGAGGTGCCAGAACAAGTTTGGGGACACATGACCCTTTGCCTATCTGGGCTCCTCTTCCCCTTGGCCCTGGGGCAGGTGATGAGCTGATTGATTTGTGCCCTAATTCAGGTTGCCAGGGAAGGGAAGGTGTTCTCCTCCCCAGCCTGGAAGATGGCTGAGTCTGGTTTCTGGAGACCCAGAAACACCCTTACAGCAGGACCTTGGGAGTAGATAGTGGCCGTCCAGTTGGCTAGGGCTGAAGCCAACTGGTTAGCCCTCCCCCTGCCTGAGGGGAGGGCACTCTGGGCCTTGTGTCTAGTCCTGAGCTGGGAGGCCCCACCTAGGTAGCACTGCCAGTCACAAATACACGTACCTATTATATACCACGCGTGGTTCTGGGCCCTGAGGTTTCAAAGTTGGGCCAGACAGGCACAAACGAGCCCTTGGTGAGCCCATGTTCCAGTGAGAAAACTTTAAAAATGGGAGTGGGGGGTCTTTCTCCAGGCAGGACGTTCTCAGTGCACACTGTAGCTCATTAAGTTAGAGGTGTATCTGTGATGGAACTGGTACCCTGGCTATCTCCATTTGTAGATAGCAGTGCTAGTAACAAGCCTTGGGCAATACCATGGATGATTTTTCTTTGTGGGCCAGGGGTGCAGTTTAGTGGGTGAATACTTGCCTAGAAGGCCAGAGGCCCTGGCTTTGATTCCCCAACACCAAAAAGAAAAAAAAAAAAAAAAGATTCAGTGGCTCTGAGCAGGGAACCTCCCCTCCCTCAGCACATCAGAGATGTCCATCCTTTGGAAGCAGGGAAGAGGCTGACTTGGCAAGTGAGTACATGGAAGCCTATGCAGAAGCCAGGTAAAGGTGACAGGCAGGTCTGGGCTAAAAGCCAAGGGGAAGAGAGAGCAATGGCACTTGACTTGGGGTGCAGTGGGGGTGATGACAGGGGGCTTTTCAGGGCAGGGGAACTGGCAGACAGAGGGAGAAAAACCTGACTCCAGGCTGGGTATGGTGGTGGACACCTGTAGTCTCAGCACCAGAGATCAAACCCAGGAACTTGTGCTTACAAGGCAGGCGGTGGCACCACTGAGCTAAATCCCCAGCTAAAGAATAAAATCTTCAAGCCCAATATCAAAGCAGCCATCAGAGCAAGAGAGGCCTGGACAGCTTCTACGGATGGAGCCATCTGGAGATGCTCCCCCAGGGTGGTGGGGAAGAGCTGCAGACACTGGGTGCATCTGGGCCTAAGGGGAAGCATAACATGTAGACAGGAGAAGTAATTTGGTCCCAGCAGGAAGAGAACCTGGAAGTGGATGATGCTGAAGAATGACTTATGAATTCAGCCAAGGGACCCTCATTCTCCCAGTCTGTGGACAGGGGCTTGCAGTCCTTTTACCCCACCCTTTGAAGCCCCCAAGGATAGGGTTATGGGTATTCACTGGAGCTGGCTGATTCTGTTTCAGAACAAAGTTCTGGACGTGGATGGGATGAAGGTGAAGCTGCAGGTAAGGTGACTAGGATAAGAGCAAGTTGGGGGCAGGGTACACCAGGGAGGGGCTGGACAGCATGACCAGTGCGTGTTGCCACAGATCTGGGACACAGCTGGTCAGGAGCGATTCCGCAGTGTTACCCATGCCTACTACCGGGATGCACATGGTGAGCTCAGAGACATGGGGAGTATCTCCCTTGGGAGTCAAGGTTTTGATCTGAGCAAGAGGGTGTGGGTGACCAGCAATCACTGGGCCCCAGGGGTGTCCTCACTGCACTCTACCCTCAGCACTGCTGCTTCTCTATGATGTCACCAACAAGGCCTCCTTTGACAACATTCAGGTCAGTCACTTCTCTCCTGGTGGGGGTAATGGGCCATCATGGCCCCGATGGCACCAGACCTCCCAAGAGTTCTGAGGACTGCTGACAGGAGGGGGACTGGTGGGCTGCTCTGGGCTTGAGGTGGCCCTAGTTGAGTATGAACTGTAACTGGGGCTGGATGTCATCTTAGATAAAGGTGGGCACCTCTGTCCAGCACAGGGAACATTTTCTGGAATTGTGCATTCTGTCAGGTGTAACCTGGAGGGGCCAAGCTTCTGAGGGCAAAATATGCTTCCACCTGGTCCTAGCTCTTTTCACACAGGCCTGGCTGACTGAGATCCAGGAATACGCCCAGGATGATGTGGTTCTCATGCTCCTGGGGAACAAGGTGGGCAGGCCATTCTGCTCTCTCCAGCCTGGCACCACAAAGCAAGGCAGGTGACGGGGGGTGGGAAGGAGACCATGGGCCAGCTGTTACCAAAACCCTGTGCCTGGGCCAGGTGGACTCTGCCCAGGAGCGTGTGGTGAAGAGGGAGGATGGAGAGAAGCTTGCCAAGGTGAGTCATGGCAGGGTGGGTGGCAAGGAGGGTACCCTGAAGCTGTGGAGCCTGGGCTATCCCCACCAGGCCACCACAGCTGGCAACAGCTGTTTGCAGGAGTATGGACTGCCCTACATGGAGACCAGTGCCAAGACAGGCCTCAATGTAGACTTGGCCTTCACTGCCATAGCAAAGTAAGTCCAGGGAGTGAACAGAAATACTCCTTATTGGGGGTTCAGGATATGGTTTTGTTTCATCAACACTCCTACTCTGCAGGGAGCTGAAACAACGTACCATGAAGGCAACCAGTGAACCTCACTTCCGGCTGCATGACTATGTTAAACGGGAAGGTCGAGGAGCCTCCTGCTGCCAATCCTGAACCAAACTGAATTCAGATCTACTCTGAAGGGAGAGGCTCAGCCCCAGAAGATTGGACAGAAGGTCTACAGCCTGCAGCTCCCAGGGACTCCTGAATCAAGCCTTGCCCCTTCGTTAACAGCAATCTCAAACCTCCATTCCCAAAAAGCAAAGGTCTTCAGCTCCAGAGAGGGTTTCATGGAAGTGTGCAGAATATGCCATAGAGCTCTGCTGCCACCTCCTGGGCACTCCTAGAGGGCCAGGCCACAGGCCAACACGTGTACAGTGCCTAACCCCTTAGAAAAGCCATGTTTTTACCATACACTGCTCAGGCAGGACTCTTGCCTGGGACAGGGCTTCTCTGCTATTATCCTCCTGTGTGCCCCAAAAACCAGCCAAAGCTGGCTAGGGCACCTATGTGGCAAGCCCTGGTTAGGCCTAGCCACAGATGAGGCTTGAGTTTGCCAAGCTGTCTTCATCTTGTATTACTAGAATGACTGAACCAATCTTTTGATTGCTTTTTTTTTTTTTTGGAGACAGGGCTTCGCTATGTAGTCCAGGCTGGCCTCGAACTCATGATTATCCTCCTGCCTCAGCCTCCCAAGTGCTGGGATTACAGGTGTGCACCACCACACCCAGCCTTGATTGCAAGTTTTTCAATTCTAGTGAATAAAGGTGTGCTTTCTGGAGTTTCTGTCTCATCTGTTCAAAGAAAGCAACTTTGAGGCCCAAACCTTACCACAAGATGGGTGAAGTTCCATGGCTTTGCCAAATTTTAACCCTTTTTAATGGAGGAATATAACAGTTAGGGCCAGGAATATAGGTCAGCTGTGCGGACAGAGTCTGCCTGGCAAGAGTTAGTCCCTCAATTTGATTCCTGGTACGGCAAAAAAAAAAGGTTTAAGACCCACCCTGAGGGCCGGGTTTAGCTCAGTGGTGCTGTGCCTGCATGAGCAAGGTTCTGAGTTCAATCCCCGGTACTGGAAGAAAAAAAAAAAAAAAAAGACATCCTGGGACAAGGTATAAAGAGCAATCTTTTTTGGCCTTACAAGTAAAATGATTAAGGCAGGCCCAAGAGTTGTCAGGTTACTAACTAGTAATGAGAACTTCATTTTCATATTCATTAGCTTTCCGTTTGCCTAGGGATGAGCTTGTCCGCTACAGAATGCTAACAGGGTAGAAAATGATGCTAGAGAGACTGAAGATTCTCTTCGTTTGCTTTATTGGTAAACAGTTCAGTTAACAGATAACGGATGCCGACCTTACCAATCCCTCCTGCCCACTGGGGTTCTGGATTTCGGTTGATTTAAGTTGAACGTCTACAGCCGGCTCACCATGACCCTGAAAGTCAACCAGAGTTGGAAATGGTGAAAAACTTCTCACCTCCATTTTGGCTCATCCAAATTCTCCCCGTCAAGGGTGCTCACCCAAGCCTCAGTCTCGCAGTATAATCAGACTGCACATGCAGTTCTCATACGAGGTGTCAGAATTTAGGGTAATTCATCATAGGCTTGGAGATGCATCCAGGAAATCAGGCCTGGCTCAGTCTTACCTGCTGGAGGTCTGGAAGTTCAAGAAGATACGTTTGAACGACAAAGGCTAAGGCGGAGCCGAGCCAGGCCAGGCCCAGGCAGGATCCAGGGCTGTGCTAGCCTGTGGGGTTCGGGGGACGCACAAGATTCCACTAGGTCTACAGTTTCTTCCCGCACTGTGGCACACTCACTCTGAAACAGAAGCGCTCCAGCCCCGTAGTCTACTCAAAAGGAAGGTGAGGCCCCACAGTTCGAGCTTATATAGAAATTGCTTTACTTCTATGATTGGGGAGTTCTGGCGGAAGTGCCCGCCTTTACTCGCCACCGATACGCTCTGCTCTCTATCCGGGCGGAGACCCGAAACTCTTCCTTTTTGCGGAGACCATTGAGCGTAACTGTAAATGGCGATGCATCGAGCCAATCAAACCACGATCTGCAGCATAGAGCGATTCTGAAGCCTCCAACCCGCCCAGCTACTCCCGGGCCGCCATAGACAGTAGTTTCCGAAGATCTGCGCGTGAGGCTGCCACCTGGGTCACTAGAACCAGTGAACTACATGTCCCGGCGGGCTCAGCGCCCGAGCGCTTCCGGCTTGCGCGTCCTGTCCCTTTCCCGGCCAGCGGCAGAGGGGGCACGATGAAGCTAGCGGGTGGTGCTGCCGCTCCCCGCCCAGCTACTCCCGGGCCGCCATAGACAGTAGTTTCCGAAGATCTGCGCGTGAGGCTGCCACCTGGGTCACTAGAACCAGTGAACTACATGTCCCGGCGGGCTCAGCGCCCGAGCGCTTCCGGCTTGCGCGTCCTGTCCCTTTCCCGGCCAGCGGCAGAGGGGGCACGATGAAGCTAGCGGGTGGTGCTGCCGCTCTCGGGCAGCGGG